TAAGTAGATCGGGCGGCGCAGGACGGGAGGGTTATATAGGCCTGTGCGTATGTCATCAGCAATCGGAACGGCGCGCATCACGTGGAACGCACGCTCTGTACCGGCTCTGGGCCCTCCGAGGCGCCGAGCGTCATTTTCCCGGGCTCGTGTCTTTATCAAGTCTTTATGCGCGCCGGTCTGGGGGGATGAAAGCACCCAGAGCGCTCATTTCAGCCCGGGGCACGTTTGATAAGGAAATGATTTACTCACCGGCTGTGACCGGGTCGAAAATGGCTTGGGGGCAAGCCTATTTACCTTTGCGTTTCGCCCACGCAGTGAGAACCAATAAGCAGATGGCCGGAATAACTTGGGATAAATGTGCAGACGTCCGTAGCCGCTCCAGATATCGCGGAACCTTGCTTCTCATAAGGTAAGAATATTCCCAGGATGAGTAATTCGTATAGACGGTACAAATGACCAACAAATGGCGCTTTCAAATTGTCAACCAAGAGAATCTAAGCTTGATTACAGCCTAGGATAGTAGCTGACCAAATGGTACTTCTGCGATATATCTTTCCTAACCGTTTTGAGCGCAAGTCCAGGTCATCAATCTCGGTGTACAGCCTACTATCGCGCAACGCGTTCCCTCCAAATCCGTCAGAAGTCGTACTCAGTAGCTGTGTAGCCAAAATACAGATCCCGGACCTCAGAGACCAAGTTTCAATCCCAACAGACAACAAGCAAATATCTGACACGTCCTAAAACTGGAGGTTTATTGGCGTGGAGCGAGACTTAGACGTGGCATAAGTAGAGGGAAGGACGAAGAAGAAACGTGGACCATCGAGGCGATAGACTATGTATTATGTATAGCTTTTCCCAGGAGTCGCATCCACATTTTCATTGGACTGAGTGCCAAAGGCGATCTTCCGTCCCGAAAGGCATGCCGCCAAGTGGCTCTCGAAAAGGAACGGTGCTAAAAATAGACGGCTTCTTAAGCACGCGTGAACTGTCATTTGGTATTACTATCACGTGCGGGGTTATGCAAAAGTATAGAGAGTTGCAAAACACCACATTGTCTCTTTATCAGGAGCTCTGCTGCCAAATAAAATAAATCTTCTGAAGTAGTTACATGTTACAATCAGGTTTCCCCAAAAAAAAAGTAAAATCGGCGCATTTCTTGGTTCTCTATGCCTTAATCAACGTTCAAATTCTTAGTGAACGTGTCATTTATGAGAACGAAGCACATTTTCTGCAAGCCTACATGTAAATATACATCAAAGAAGTGACATTTATTGTAGGAGTACTACTCCTACAACCATTCCACCACATATTTCGTTCAGATATGGGTGTTTGAAAGAGATATCGAGAACCTGCTGGTGCGTGATGGAATTTGCATGCTTTTAAGGTTTTGAGAATCAAACTCCGCTCAGGCGAGATCAACAAGTCGCGTCGCGCCTGTCTCGGGCTCTCTTCGGAGTTTCGCAAAATCGTGACAGCCGGGCTCTCGCCGCACGTCACATTTTTGCAACTCCTTGTTTTTGGCATCCTTTTACCGGCAGATGTCTGGCAGAGCAGAATCATCCCCGATTCTCGTGTTATTTCATGTTATAGTTGAAGATAGGCACATATAGGTATACGGAAAGTTAAATGGTAAGGCTCGCAAAACTGAAGCAGTTGTTTGAAATTTGGCAGAATTTTTGCAACTCTGCTCCAATGATAGTATTGAATCATTCACAGCTCACAAGCAATGAAATTTGAAACCCAAAGAGGCATCATATTCACGAGAAGTCGAGCGAAGATAAGCCAAAAACAAGTATGCGAAAATAGCGATAAATACCCAAATCAACGATCAGAACTTAAATCCTCCAGCAAGACCCATCACGTTCGTCGGATCAATCGTAGCCTTGAGACTCTGCAGTGTCGCAAGGTTGCTTCCGTAAATCTGGCTTAGCGGCGTGTCAAAGATCGCATAGTTGGGGTACACCGGTGCGCCGATAAGGTTCGACTGGCCCTCAGCTACGGCGGCATTGAACACCGTCGCGGCGGTGGCGCGCGCCGCGTTCTGGAAGTCGGTGTCGAATGAGGGGTCCAGCCACGCAAAGTAGATGTTGAATGGGAGGAGGCCCAAAGTACGGACAGGGGGGAAGGCCGTCGTCTCCGCGTTGTGCGAGTAGATCGACGGGAGGAACGGTTCAACATCGTATGAGATGAACACCCCGGTCTTGAGACTCAGGTTAATTCCCCAGAACTAGAAGCAGGGGGAAGCAGGTCATTATAATAGCTGGAAGAAATAAATAGAAACCAATGCATACAGTTGTTTCGTTGAGAATAACGTCCAACAAGGCCGGCGTATAGTCGAGCACAGACACAGTATTAAAGATGGCACTATTGGAGATGGTGAATAAAATTCCCCAAGTGGCGTTTGAGTTCAGACTTACCGTGTTCCGGCCGTAGCATTGGACGGAGACGCTTGTACGAGCGACAAAAAGCTTCTAGTGCTAACATCTTTGGTGAAATAAGGAATTGCGAGGAAGTCGTCAAATATCCCTGCAGGAGGTGTCGGGCCATCATAAAACAGAAGCTGAGAAATTCCAGGCTATATATAATAAAGTAACGAACGCATCTTGAAGTGAAGCAAAGAGAGAGAATAGGGCTGTACGTACCTCGCCGAGGAGGAAATTGTAGGTGGTAATAATTGCGGCTTTGGGATCGTTGACATTGGCTTGGAATGCTGCAGTTGCCGCTGCAACATCCGGTATAAAAGCTTCGGTGATGGTGATCAGACCACCCTATAGTTTTACGTGAATACCTTGCCTGCGAAAGTAATATGGATAACATAATGATTACCCAGACTTGTGTTTGAGGGAATGTCTTCAGTGTAAACTTGGTCACAATACCCTATCATGCAATCATGAATTTCAGGAGATATTACAAGACGTTGATAGAACTCACGAAATTGTTCAAGCCGCCCTGTGGCATGAGAATACGTCAGCTCACGTTTCGCGCAAAATGACTACCAAAAATAACTACCTTGAGGGCAGAAAAAAGGCCGGGATCCAGAGCGTCTGTCACAGTGACGACAGTTCCATCTGGCTTCACTAACTCGTATGCAGTGACCGTATCGATTGTCAATCCATATTGGTTGGACTTCCAAGAATATCCTGAATTTTGTACACACACCGTCGCATGAGTTTTGAAATTTTATCAGAAGCACTCGCCTCTTACCGCCGCCTAGGGTAAATCCTGCTACGCCGACACCGGTTACACGGCCGCCGACAACATTGACGTTATACGGTGCAAGCGCAGCGTACACATCGTCCCAAATCAATCCAGAACCAATTTCGACGGTCTGGGCAGCTGCGTCATAATTAATCGCAGAGAAGCGGTACATGGAGATGTGGACCCCAGTTGTCGAAGAGAAACCAGGGTTGGACGCGTGGCCACCCCCCTTGACCTATAACCGTAAACAGCGAATGAGATGGGTATCACACGCACAAATATGGCATTGGGGGACGTACGGCGAAGGGGGTTTGTGTGCTTCCGACGATTCCTAACTTGAAACCGGCGTGTGTGTAAGCCCATAGCTGGTTCGCTCAGACCCACACCCTCCTAGCCACTCAGCCTGGGCCGTCTAGTATGGGTATGGATTTGAGGGAACCACCTATGTTTATGACTGACGTAAATAAAGTGATGGCACTTACGATGGTGCCGATATCGGAAGCGGCGCCCGGCTCAACGACGCAGAGAGGGTTTTGGGAACTTGAGCTGGCCCAGTGGTAGACACCTTTGGTGTATAAGGGATGCCCTTGAAAGGATTTCTTGGTTCTTTGTTGTAATGACAAGAGGAGCGGCCAATACCAAAGTAATACACATCGCTCGCGGATGAAATCGCCGCTGCAATTTGTAGGCACACTGGGCTGGGTGTCAATGTCCTCTCCTCAATAACAGGAGAGCAAGTAGCTAGATGGGTGAGAACTAGAGTGGTGAGGATGCGTTTGGCTGCGAACATCCTTCGCTATTTCCACGAAATGGGTGTGTATGCTGCAGCGGCCAGCGAAGGTCGCCCGCCCTTATTTATGTTTCTCGGAAAACATTGCAATCATGGAGCTAGACCAAAAGGATAAACTTGCGCCCTTTGAGAACGGGGATTGGCAGAGATCCTCGCGTGGGTCACTGTGTGCCTTGACAGGACTATCCAGTGCGAAATTATGCGTTTGACATGTCTGATTTTTCCGGACAGCCTGAGATAATGGGACGTCAGGCGATGGCTCATGGCAGACGTTGGGCGGACGGTGGAGATTTGCAGTCAAACCTCATTCTTCTATCTGCCCACTGTTCAATTTGCTATAAATAAAGCTGAAGAGGGTTGTGTTGGGTTGGCAATAAAGATAATTGATTACTACCGTCCAACGAAGGAAGCGGAACTAAAATGTACAAAGACGGAACGGATAAGTAATTGGACATTTTTCCAAGAGTACAATCCATCAGTACGCCAGAGGAAATGACGCATTTACAGTTGTAACAGAAGCTGGAAATCATTTCATGAAACCCATAAAGCTCTTAAAAGCTCCAGTCTCCCAAGCCAGCCGAATAGCAGGATTCTTCGCCACTTCCCAGTGTCCGTTCTCTTTGATTCCTCCAATTCCAATCTTATTCCCCTTCCCTAAGTAATGGTGCTTCCAGTTCCAAAACCCGTAATCAATACCGTGACTGACTTTTATCTATTGACTATCTAAGTATATGATATTGCAGTGCTCAACCTCTTACCCTGGGTATCTGTACAGGGTCATATCTTATCTCAATTGTAAAGGCTTGGTAGTAAAGGCAGTGGAAAAGCGTAGCTCCCAAATATCAAAATCCCAATGAGGGTTCGTTCAACGTTCTGCAACGAAGTGACTTCCATAACCATTTAATTGAGCCACTTGAGCGTTACGCCGTTAAACTTAAGAGTTAGAACTGTAATGTTAAAGTAAAACTAGATCTCCAATCCTCGATGCGCAACAAGTGCAATGCAAAAAGGGAGGCACTGCCCGGAATCGAACCGGGGTTACAAGAATTCAGAGATCTAGGAGTTGCGGGCGCCTCAGAATCTTGAGTGATAACCGCTACACTACAGCGCCTTCACACTCCGCGCCGAGCCGCGCCGACGCGGCGGGCGCCTATTCAAGTTCGTGTGTATCTGCTGCGATGATAGGAAAGAGCCGCAATGGTGGCGGGCTGTATGCAGGGAAGGATGCGTTCAGGAGAGTGCAGAAGCACCCCCGACGGTGTGCGGTGCGCGTGTCCAGAGCCTGTGTCCAGGTCTACAGATGAAGCAACACTGTAAGTACCCGAGAGCGCGCTTATATTTATCCACCTACGCCTTCGCCGAGCCAGGACGCTGCGACGAGCGCTTCTTGCCTATGCGGTGAGGAAGATTTGACGCGCTTTGATCAATATACAACATGTGCATGCCAATTGTAAGGTGCGGTGTAAGCCAGGAGCCCCGGGGCCTCCTCTGGGAGGCAGCAGGCGCGGCGCTAGTGCCTGTAGTTCTGCCGTGGCAAATTAATATCGCCAGATACTCAGCGATATGTAGCCAAGCGCGCGCGGCGGCGCCGACTGCGTACGAGATTAAGTATTCTAATAACGAAACACCGCGCGCACACTGCCCATACTTTCGCTCGCGTTCATAGACAGCTAGGCGGGCCTAAACAAAAGTGTAACATGACACCCGAGGCCAATGTCCTGTCCGCCGAGGCTTATCCGGCCATGACCTGGATCATCCGAGGAGCGTAACTATCGAAAAGTCAAGCTTACTATGTGTGGCCTGGGCCCGCCGCGCCGTTGGGCGTTGGGTTCTTAGATATTTCGCCATTTATTACACCCGCTGTACTTATCGTACGTTTGCGCTGGGGAAAAAGACAACCAATGCAGTAAATTAAGGGTGTGGCAGCGGTGTACACTCGTCGCGTCGACGCGTCGGCGTCACTGGATTTAAATTCAACATTTAATGTACATCAGATAATGTACAACAGAAAGCATTGCTGCCCAACGCCCGTGCCGGTGTCAATTCGCGAATGCACAGGCTCAGGCAGCTCAGACTCAGGCTGTAAAATTCAAAATTAAGGCTCCAACCATATTATATGTGTATGTGACAAAAAGTGAAAATATACAGATACGGTTAATAGTGTGTATTATACTGTATATATACAGTATACAGTAAAAATATACAGTTAGCAAGCAGAATTTTTCAAGCCTGACTCCTATGAATATACCACTCCAATGAGTTGTCATTAATGTATGGAGAGGACTCCAAGCTGACTTCAAGCCAAATATTTGACAAAAGAGTTTGAATACACCATGGAAAGTCACCATCCGGCCTACGTCCGGCCCAATCCGGCCGGATTAAAGCTGACAAATCCACAAATGTCGGTCGCCTCGCAAGTCCGGCCAAAGTCCGGCAGCCTCTTCTCGCACTCCCTTTTGTCAAATTCATGGTTGATTGCAGAAGGGGAGGTTCCACAAGGCAAGGCAGGTATGCAGTCCACCATTTGGAGGTGATATTTCAGGTATCGAGAGGTGATTTCAACAACTGTATATATCACTATATACCATATGTGTATATGTATATCCGCATTTTGAGATTTTGGGCATACATATACATATACACATGAAAAGAACCATATATATACAGTATACATATAATATGGTTGGAGCCTTATTCAAAATTCAAAATTCAGATTTAAAGTTAAACAGTAAAATATACCTGACAAGCTTACCGATTCTCGAACTATCCACCTCTAGACAGGGCAAAAGTGAGGCACTGCCCGGAATCGAACCGGGGTTACAAGAAATCTCGAAGAATCAGAATCTTGAGTGATAACCGCTACACTACAGCGCCTATACATTGCCGGCGGCCCTGTTTTATCTTGTAATTAATCCGAGCTGCAGGCCACTTCCACGGCTTTGCGAGCGTGTTCAGAGACACGAATCTATGAGGTTGATTTGGATAGAATAAAATTATTCGGGAAACCACCATCAAGGCCTTTCGGAGCGATGCACACTGGGGTGGAAGGCTGCAATTAGGGACCTTCCAAGTTGAGCGCCGTCGCCGTCGCAACTCAAGCGCAGAAAGTGCGCACCGAGCTGAAGTCCGCAAGGTCGCCGAGCATGAGCGCAACCGCCGCACACTATCTCAAACTCCAATTATATCCGGCGAACTTCCCGTTGACAGAGCGGGGCACCGTGCTTAGAGTGGGAATTGACGTTAAGAATGGATGATAGATATCGATAGATAGCCTCATAGTACATATGCAAGCCCCGTATATTCGACCCTTTCGTCATCTTCGCTGCTACCGAACATATCGTCGTCGTCCGGGAACTCTTCGTCGGGCAGGTTAAGAAACGCCTTCATGTGGTTCTCCCAGCGCGCCTCGTAGTTCATCTGCACAACGTCCGGCTCCTTGAACGGGTCGAACGCTGCGTCCACCCCGGACACTTCCTGCGCCCAACGCACGAGATCCGCTTGCTCGGGCGTGCGCGTCGCGGCGGGGGCACGGAACGCGGCCTTGACGTCGTTCCAGCCACGTGTGCCGCCGCAGTCCTCGACGGGGCCGCGGCCTTTCATGGTGGCAAATGTAAATAGTTGTACGGCCCACTGATATTTGACAGACACACGCACCTTTCGCACGGGTGAACACCGGACGCGCGGCGCGCGCGAGCTTGCGCCCTTTGAACACCAGGCGGTGCTCCCAATAGTCCTAATACACCCATGTGCCCGTCAGCGCTGCCCCGTTTCCCTCATTCCTGACGCGAGACACTCACCCCTAAGTCGTACGTGTACACCAGCGGGCAGAACGCGCCGTCTGCATCCGTTACCGCGCCGTACAGGCGTCCCGTGCGGTCGAACACGTCGCTGAGCTTCAGGCTCTCCTTCTCCTCCTCTCTCGGTACGCGCACCCCGTTATTTATATCGTCCTTAAAGAGATCCGCCGGAAGGATGCGCAGCACCTCATCGCGCGGCGAGAAGATACCGCGTGCAGGCGGGCGTCCGGGCCCCGCAGGACGCTTCTCAAAGACGAATTGGTGCAGGTGCCAGCACTGCCAAGGGCCCATGGCATACTGGATCGTGTAGTGCAGCATCGTGAAAGAGAACCACGCGGGGACGTCGAAGCTGCGCGTAATTGTAGGATTCGAGGAGCCGGTGAGCGTAAGATCGAATGTATAGGCGTATCTGTCGTTTCGGTGTCACTATTCTTGGAGGTTGTCGATGTCGAAGAGCACTGATAGCGACGCACTTTCCGCAGAAATCCTTGTGGAACCTCCAGTCCTAGATGTAGTGCCCCAGTTAGACACTAGTTCCAGAGCCTGCAGTACACATACACACCTTTTTCTGGCAATTTTCGGAGCAATATACTGTTGGGGGGGTTGCCTCGCGGCATCGAGGGCATCTAAACTTTCCGGTCTCACCGCGGCACAGGAAGCTAGAGCATGGGTCGTTCGTTGGCTCCGCCATCCACAAGCCCAGGAAAAGAGGGCGTGACAAGATATAGCGTCGGGAAGATAAGTACAGTTCGCGAATGATTGATGATGAAAATGACAAATCATATCGACAAGCGAGCCGTGGGAACATTTGCCGAGCATCCGATCGGCCTTTTGTAGCACGCGACTCCGTGCTTGCTCGGTGCTACATACCGTGCCACCCCCGGTTTCCAAGGGAGGGGAGACTTCTTCACTACATGCATAGGCCAGAGATTGATTTCTGCGGATAAAGTACTTGGCTGAAGCACAGCCGATTACACGAGAACGCTGCCAGTCCGCAAAAAGCGCATTCCAGAACGGCGCAAAAGAGTTAAACGTTGAAGTTTGAACAACGACGTGCGGCTCGGAGTACTTCTCTTGCTCCCAGCTTACTCATAAGTGATGTTGAGTGACAGTGGACATTCTCTAAGTCCTGCTTTTTCCTATAGAATATACCCAAAAAGTTTTGAAGCCAGAGATCCATCAAATGCACGTCGGTACTGAGCAAGTTGCTACATAATGGCTCTTTGAGAGGAATATCTGAAAGGTGTACAGCACCAACAGCTTCAGCTACTCCGCTACTTACAAAAGCACTTCTTCGGGTTTTCACAGTGACTGCTCAAGCGCTCGGCGCTTGGCGCTGGCGTTCCATAATTTTCGATCATCTCAGCAAACGATTGACTGATTACGACGCGGACTCCGGACAAACATCGTTGATTAATAGGTATTCCTGGCGCTAGACAATCTAACAGAAAACTCTTGGAACCCAACATAGTAATAGTCATCACGGTTTCATCCCTCTTTTCGTGTCGGTATTGTACAAGTCTTGTACTGCCTTTGTGCACAAGCTCCGAGGGCTGTGCGTTAAATATTGACACATCCCTCGCATGGCAGTCATCACCAATTCTGTGCCTCAGACTTGCTCGGCGCGGGACGTCAAATAATTGGTCGATCCTAATATTCTCTGATTATTGCACTTGTCCTGTCTGCATATCTCCCAAGTGGCAGCTTGTGCCATCTTCTTCAGGAATTTGGGCATCAAGTACATCATATCTCTAACATGACCGCAGCGCCAAATGGGAGATATTTAATTCCCACGGCACGGTAAGTCCCAGCTGGTATTTCGAAGCAAAGGTGTGTATGTAGGGAGGTTTCATGACGAATTTCATTGCTATTGGTGTGTTTTCATATCTCTCAAGCCTGCTGATTTCATCTAAATTCTAAGAAATTGAACGTAATTCCGACACAAGCGCGATTTATGCCATGAGACATCAAATGAAGGTCGATTGACCACAGCCACCCGTGTATCTAATTTCTGAAATCAATTGGCGGCCAGGAATCCACAACGAGAGAAGAGACGACCAATCTGAAATATTCCAAACTTAGCGAGTCCTCCCAAGATCGTCGAATATTATATCCAATCAAATATAAATTTACGACGGCCGCCTTCCTGCCGACCGCCTCTAACCGCCCCGCTTGCACCCCACCGCCTTTAGTGCATCTTCCAGTCAGTTAGCTAGGACCACTTGCTATGATTCCGGATTCTGTTAGATGAACTACTGGTCTGAATGAGAAATACTTGCCGAAGAGAGCGCACGGCATTGGTTAAGGAGTCTGG